CTGTTGGATTTCTTGGTAAGATCATACCTCGTATATAGTTCATGTCCTCCTCTCACCATGGTTTTACATTTTCTGTTGGATTTCTTGGTAAGATCATACCTCGTATATAGTTCATGTCCTCCTCTCACCATGGTTTTACATTATCTGTTGGATTTCTTGGTAAGATCATACCTCATATATATAGTTCATGTCCTCCTCTCACCATGGTTTTAAATTTTCTGTTGGATTTCTTGGTAAGATCATACCTCATATATAGTTCATGTCCTCCTCTCACCATGGTTTTAAATTTTCTGACCACTATATTCTTAAACTTGATTTTGTGAAAAAAAACAGATGATTTACACACTTACTGTGAAATCCAAACTTGGTAACCAGTTGAAGATATGTAGATACTTAAAGTGCAACAACTTGCTTATTGTACATTGTCTAACAATTTCCTTCTAGAAATTCCACAACATTTCTGATTTAGTGTTTTTGTTAATTTAAAGGAAATCATAGTCTAAACTAAACTAAAGATCTATATGTATTGGACAAACTTCTTACAAAGAAAACCTAACATACACTCATATTAAAGAACAACTGAACAGCATTTTTGTAAAGCTTATAACAAGAAACCATTTACAAAAGATAGTAACACATTAGTGCAGTGGTTCCCATCCTTTTCACCACCAAAAACCCCTTTTATTATTAATTTTTTCCCCATTCTTTGTCCTTCCATGCATTATTTAGTTAAAGAAAATAGCTCACAAACCCCCAGGGGTCTGAGGAACCACTGAATTAGTGTGCCACATTATTTAACAGGAAACCTTTTAACCACAGAATGTCTTGCAAGTCACTTCACTTATTGTGTTTATATAAACACATAACACATTTCTATTCACCAGAAATCTCAGTTTTTAATTCAATGTACTGCTAAACTTGTGTACTTGATATAAACATACAATAAAACATGTTTCCTCTCATCATGTTTGCATTTTAAAATCACTAAATACCTAAATGTACTTGTTTTCTCTCTCTATAAATTTAGGATTTTAAATCAAAATCAACCTTGTAAAACTACATTTGAAAAAAGAAAAGAGATTTAGAATCCAGTAATTTTACACTGTAATTATTCAGAAAGCTACAACTGCATTCTCTACATTTACCAACATATGGTGTGAAATATTTGTAATTTATTATCATATCTTCATGTAAAAAAAAAACTTGTATGGTTTCTCATAAATGATTAACATGATGCTTATTCAGTTTTAAATTTTCTTTTGAAATCAAAGCATTAATGAAATGTTTTCATAACAGATCTTTGTAAATTAAGCTTTATTACCAGTTGAAACTACAACATACTAAGAAATGATTATTTTACAGCTATGCTGATCTGACTGTGGAACATGGATTATTAACATCTGGTGAAGATGCTATGATAGTTGCTAATCTCAAACTTAGTGGCCCTGAATCAATTCTTGGGCGTACTCTTGTCCTCAGAGGAACAGAGACTGCTAGGTCTGTTTGTGCAGTGATTCAACCCACATCACGGGTACGGACCTTTCGTTCTAAGCTTCATACACCAGTGGCTGGAGAGGTTGTATTTAGACAAAGTGAACAAGATATTGGGCTGTATTCTCACCTCTATTTCACCGATGGTACAAGAAAAGACACTCTTCATCGCTGGGCACTACTGACTGGTAAACAAACTGATACTATGAATGAATATTTTCAGAATGAAGTAAGTCAGTGTGCCAGTCTCCATGGGGCAGTGCCACTTATCCAGGGTTCCAATATGCTAGCAGTAGGAAAAGAGCCTATTAGTGCATATAGCAGTACCTATTATGTCATTCAGAACCTACCTCCACTAGAGAAGTTGATTGGTGGACTTTATTTTGTCATTTATTCCAGCACCAGTCCTGCTGATATTCTTGCCTGTGCTCCTTTATTGGCTGTTGAACCAAAGGAAGCCGTGGCCATGTTCAAGAAGGAAGTTATTGGACAGGTGACCTTCCGTCAAGAATCACCCTTTGACCCAACTCTAGTTACAGTAGACTTGGATAATCTGCAACAAAGAGCATACAGTTATGGAATTGATGAATACCCCTTAATCTATCGGTGGAACAGTTCTGAACAGTGTCCAAATATCAGGGGTGCTATATACAATCCTTTCAAAGCAGAGCCTTATGCTGTACCTGAGCCTGGGAAAGGTAGTGCTGATCTTTATGCCACAGGTGATTTAAGTGGCAAGTACGGCACCTTACATAACAAGAAACAAGTCTTCCAACAAGTTCGAGACCAGTCTCTTTCTCTTTTTGGAATCCACAGTGTGGTGGGGCATGCACTGGTCATCTACAAGCCTGATGGTCAGCCCTTGACATGTGCAAACATTGAACTCAGTGGGAAGCCAATAATCACTGCTTACTCAACTTTTGACACTCCTCTCCAAGGCCAGATTATCCTCAAACAAGATGCTACAGATCCAACAGCAGATACCTCAGTCTACATAGAGCTCTCCTACCCAACAGGGACACCAAACATTCAAGAAAATACATACAATCATCCTTGGCATGTTCATGTTAGCCCTGTTTCTACAGGAACTGGGTACAGTACCACACAGTGTGCAGTTGCTGGTCCTCATTATAACCCCTACAATGTCAGCACTGAGGGAATATATTTTTGCCACTGTTCTGGCAACATGCCTTCCAGGTGTGAGCTGGGAGACAGTTCTGGAAAACTGGGTTATCTAGATATCCCCGTCTTTAAGACTCTAGACAATGGTCAAACAGAACTAGCAAAATACTATTTTACTGACCCTAACCTTCCTTTATCTGGACCAACATCAGTCAGTGGAAGGTCTATTGTGGTTCACCATCCAGATTTTGGAAGTGGTCGTATGGTGTGTTCTAATATTATTCAACATGGAATTACTCAAAAGTGAGATACATCAAACTTTATTGGCAAAGAAATGTTTATAAAACATCATTACAAGATTCTGATAAAACAAGCTTGAGTAGATGTTCTTAAGTTGATCTCTTACTTAGCTACCTAAAATACACTGAGACAGGATATCTATTATATAATGGATCATATTCATTCCCATTGAATAGCAAAACTTGTACCATGGCTAGCTGAGCATTTTAATTTCAGGCAGTATTAGATATCTATCTGGTTAAGCTGAGTAAAATTATTACACTGACTGTTACTTTATGTGTACTATGAAAGAAAAGAATTTTGCTAATAAGTACATAAAACAGAAAATGCTCCCAAATAAAATTTAGCTCTAGAAAAAATACAAATAAGGAACTTTCATCTCTGGTGTTTATTTACACATTTGCACATATGTATATTTCAAAATTTAATATTTCTAGAAATGTGTGACACGTATCGTAGTCATGACGTTGTGTACTCTCTTTTTGTCAAAACTGGAATTTACTTTTGTTTCAGGAGACCTCAATCTTAATAAGTGATGTATGTGTAATAAATACACAATGAACAAGAATATTGTACCCCTTTCATAATCTGATCCTAGGTTCCAAAACACTTTTATTGATGTTTCTTGACTTAATACACTATTAAAATCTTGCAACCAGTGCTTAAGTATGATTTGTTTATCATTTGACCATGTATATCATTGCTTCCTTAAAGACACCTGTTGTGAACTTGTTTTATAATCAGTTAATTTACTATTTCATAACATTCATTTTGTTACTTAATCAATAAAATAATTTTGATTATTAAGATTTAAAATCAAAACTTGTAAGCATTTTAAGGATATTGTTAAAAAAGTCTTTATATATGTATTCATTCTATATGTAGAATCAGGTCAAACGTTTTGAAACTTGTGTGTTATCATACAATGAAATGAAGATTGAACATAAAAGCATATGTAAACCTCTGTCTATGACACTTGACAACAATATAATTGTTCTGTATTTTTAATGTACATATATTTTAGGCTATATATTCCAAACTATATTACAATTTATTATCCAAATGGAGATAGTTAATATAACTTGGAACATTGTGAAATTGTATCTTTAGCTAGTGTGTAGACTTTAATAAGAAATGTGCAGGAGTCATGCTGTCTTAATGGTTATTCTTACAACCCTAATGCAGTTTTGTAGCTGGAGCTAATAAACCTTTTTAACAGAAATACTGTGATACTTAGTTTGGTTTATTCTCTGTAAAATCAATATAAGCTATCAAAAGCCATTTATCTGAAAACAAGTATTGAAGAAGACGTAGCAGGTAGTAACTAGTGAAAAGGTCTTCTATTTATTAATATTTATATAAAAAACAAAACAGCTGCCTTATGTTAACTGGTATTGAAGACATGCTAGTGTTTGACTGAAAGTGGTATAGAAGATATACTGTTATTTTAAGATATGTGGAATAAATGACTTGGTTCACTTACTGTTACAGAAGATATACTTTTAGCTATTAGTATTGGTTCAGAAGATCCAATATATAACAAATAAATATTGTTTCTGTACTTATAAAAAATACACAATAACAATTGAGACATTCACTATCCTTACGGCTGGTAAATAAAGTTAAATATCAGGTGGTAATCATTACAGGAAAAATCAGTCAAAATAATGCTGTTTTTCATCTGAAGTTAACCATTTTAGATCTAGAACAATCTGAGATATCCTTGTAACTTGTTCAAAGTACTCCTCAGCTTCAAGAGCTTTGATTTTGTATGACTCAGATGCTGATGAATTTGACCAGTTTCATCCTGAATCTGAAATATATGTAAATCAGAATGCTGTTCAATAAAAAAAATGCTTGACCTTGCTTGGCAAGTAAATATGATGGCCTATTGAGATACTAATATATTTTAATCTATGAACCATAATAGCTTTAAACAACCTTCTGTATTGCATATGTTTGATAGTGGACATATTCATATTTAATGGTTGTATAAATATGAACTGAAGTTGACTAACACACAGAGTGTTACTGATTCAGTCAAATTAGTTTTCCCCTTTCTCATTCAGAATCTTAACATTAATATCCATCCAGCTAATAGTTCATCATTGACTTCTCTTTTTTAGTGCTCAATACCTTTTTAATGTAGAGCACAAACAGACATTTATAGTACAGTTTTTATAAAAAAAAAAAACACTGTAACATGTTGAACCGTTCTAGATTTTCCACAGCTAGAGTATTGATATTCTTAATTGCTCATGAAGACACCAGGTGTGTCGACTTGGAATTGTCTAAGAACATTGGGAACATTAGCTCCGATAATTTTAAATTTGGTATAAAATGATTTCATCTTCAAGATTATTTTGGTCTTTATTTATGATAAGTACACTTCAACCTCTGGAGGACTGTAGTTCCAAAAATTTTGTCCTTAAATTGTTAATTGTCAATTTTTTTAAAATACATTGTTGATAAATTTTGAACTTTCGAAAGATAATTCTACAATAAGGTGGTTAGTGTCAGAAACAAAATTGTTAAGTTTATCTCCTCTAATACACGTACTCTCTGAATTCTCTTTTAGTGGGTAGTGGAAGAGGTTTCAGAATACTCAGGAGATATTAATCACAATGTAAAAAAGGGCAGGATTGAATATATATATACACACACAATACTGTATGTATGTAATGTTAGAATTATAGATAGGAAGAAAACTAATTGCATGTAAATACTAAGTTAGATGATACATTTAACAATGACATTTTACATTATGCAATGGAAGAAATTAATTCAAAATATTCCCACCATATGAATCATGATACACAATTAATAGTTTCTAAACTTTCAAACTAGGATCTTTATTGTCATCATAATGCAACTTCTAATGTCTCTAAAGAACATTTAGTTGCTGAATTTGAAATTTAATGATAACTAGTAATCTGCCTTGATTGTTTCAACAATAAAGTATCTAACTGGCCTCTAAAAAAGGTCTAGTCCTTGTAGAAGAACAATGGCTAACTAAATAAGTCTAAAATTAATGATTGAGTGTGCTAATAAAGAAACACAGCTTGTACTAACAATCAATTTAAATGCTTTTGTTACATATAACAGCAGCTTTCGTTTTTCATAACAAAAATGGAAATACTATGTAGTTTGACTCATGAGAAAATATCTGACAGTTGAATGAAGGTCTAACTAGTTTTATATACTGACTGTAAACCAAATTATTGTTTTGCCACTTTTTTAGTTGTTTTTTTGAACTTGTAGTATGGTAATTTATTCAAAAGAAGATTTCTAAAAAAACTTTCACAACAGTTAGAAACCTTTGACCATGTTTTTGATATTACTGAGTAACTGTGAAGTACTTCTAGCTTAGAAAATGAAGTAACATCATTTTGTTAGTGAATGAAAGCAGAATATTACTTAAAGTCTTTTATTATTTTTTGAATTAAAGTACTGATTATGTTAGGTAAAATTTTCAAGCCCAACAATCCATTTTTCAACAAATTTTGAAGGATCATAAAGCACTAAGTACTACTAAACCAAACACACTAGTAGTGATTTAAATATCTTGTATAGTGTCAGTGATATTTAGATGTTGAAGCTGGCCTCTAATCTCATCAATTAGAAAGATATTAAGGGAATTATTGAATATATATATATATATATATATATTTTTTGTTAAATGTTAGGAGTCAACAATTTTTTACCTTTATTTTATATGCAGAAATAGAATACTTTTTAACATATATTTAATTTTTTCCATAAAGCCCATATTCCTTCACTTCAAAATAAGTATTATATAATAATTTACAAAAATTATAATCCTGCCTTTATTGTTTAATCATGTTTAAAATAGAATTTCTAATGATGGATTTTAGGCTGAAGAAAAGAAGATACAAATATTTGAACTTGAGTAGCTTTATACATGTAGTCTCTACCTGTATCAGTTCCTCTTGAACACTTGATATCATGTCCTGATTGGTTTCTTCACTACACTTGTTTAGCAGTAACCAGTTCAATAGCTCTTTCTGTATGTCCTCAAGATATCTGTAAAAAAGAATCTTGATCATTTAAATTACTGCCTAGTATCAAGCAATCTTTAGCATAAACTTGAGAAAAATATCATATTCAAAAGGACTGAAAATTTACTTATAAACTGATAATAAAATAAGTATTTACAACACCAGGTTGTGCATGTATTAAGAATCTAAAAACTTACTGATAAACATTACAAAAGCTGAACATAAAACTAAGAAAGACATCTAAAACAAATATTATAATTCTTGCCTTTTGCTTATTGCTTCTTCTTTATGTTTTATTAAAACTTATTCAAGGTTATATTTTTAATTTACATACACTTTCCTGGTGTTGTGCATATTTTTATTGTTTTAAATGTTTTTATAACAGTCACACTTTTATATTGTGATTGACAAACATTTTTTAAAATTTAACAGTTCTGTGTGTTTACTTATAGCAAAGCCACTTCGAGCTATTTGCTGTGTCCACTAGGGGAATCGAACCCCTGATTTTAGCATTGTAAATTCAAAGAGTTACAGCTGTCCCCCTGGGAGACTTAAAAATTCTGTTGTTTATAATCTAGAAAATAATGTCAAACGAAAGTTTTTGATATACTATTGGAAATTTTGTTTCCTAGTACTAATCTATCTAGAAAATTAAAAAAAAAAGCACATGAGAAACAAAATGAGTGTTACTTTATTCTTTGCACTGACTAATTATGAAAACATATTGTGAAGAAAATTAGTCAATATAGAGATAGAATTTTACTTTCTAATAAAGTACAATTGAAGAAACCCTTTTTTTAGGAAGGTATTTTTATATGATTGACTGAATTCAAATATGAATAACAAGTAGATTTTTTACCTTAATCTGTTCTTTTGTGACATGTAGTACTGTGATTTCTTCCTAACCATTTCCAAGCTCTGCTTTAACTCAGTCAACTCATCTGAATTAATGTTCTAAAAATCAGTGAATATAAATTCAAGCTTTGCTCTTTACAGGTTTATTTATGCATTTAAATATCAAACAACAAGGAAATGTGGCATCTGAATGTGACATTCTTAAATCTGCAGATGTTTTAATTATTTCCTTAGAACAAAATGAGTAGTTATAGAATATTTAGATGTTGCACTTTGGGGATATTATTTCACATTAACAAATGAAGTTTAGCTAAGTTATGGTTACTTTCCTCTTGCTAATGTAGTTTATGTGTACATCATACAACCAAATGCTGTGTTTATACAGAACTTTCAGCATTCAAATATATAATTTAATCAGTAGTAACTGTTTTACACCATGCATATATTTATTTTTCACATATACAATTGCTGCTGCTGTTCTAACCTGAGTTAAAGTAGGTGAATGTTTAGGACTTTTTCTTTGGATGAACAAGTCTTCAGTATTACTTTTTTCATATGAATTTCCATGACAGCTGCAGATAAAAGAACTAATTTTACTATTGTCAACTAAACAAATATAAAAATACTTAGATTGACAGTCATAAAAACACAGTAACATATAACTGAGAAAAATATGAAAAACATTTTATTTAGCTTTCTGTTTTAACAAATATCTACAATAAGCAATATAATAAAAAAAATATCTGAAATATGTTTAATAGACTGTGGCCTAAGTTCAACACAACATAACATAATATTTAGGGCTGACAATGGACCTACTGGTCCATCTTGACTGTCCCATCCTCTAAACTAAACTATTAAATAAATAAATTAAAAAAAATCTTCAACCAGCTCTTATCATTCATATAGTTACCAAGCTTTTTCTTAAACTTACTTAAATTTACTGCCTCCACAACATACAAAGGCAACCTATTCTAAAGGCCAACCACCCTGTTAGAAAAATAAAACTGTCTTAGCTGAATATGACTCCAACCATGCCAATATTTATACTTGTGTCCCATAGTCCTACTATTTTTGCCATTAAGTATAAAAAAAAAGATGTTGCATTAACACCATCAATTTCCTTTACAATTTTAAACATCTCAATCAGATCCCCCTAACTCTTCTTATTTTCAAGATAAAACAATTTCAGAGATCTTAAGCTCTTCTCATATGACAACCTATCCATCCCAGGCACCATTCTACTCATCCAATTTCCTTCCTAAGGTAAGGAACCCGAGACTGAACACAACATTCCAAATGTGGCCTAACCAGTGACCTATACAATGAAACTACAACCTCTTTAGACTTGTATTCATTATTTCTCTAGATACAACCTAAAATCCTATTTGCCCTACCACTAGCAACAGCACAATGCTTGGATGGCATAAGAGACTGATCGATCATTACACCAAGATTCCTTTCTTTTATGACACTGTTAAGTTTATTCCTATCCAAATTATACTTATAATTCAATTATGATAACCCACATACATTATCTTGCATTTATTATAATTAAAGCACATATGCCAACTCACTAAATGATCTAAATCCATTTGTAAAGCAGCAGCATCCTTTTCACAGCTAGCAACACCCAAGACCTTAATATCAACAGCACACTTAAGTAATTTATTGACCATTCCTTCATCTATATGTATATTGTTGATTTAAATCAAAAAAGAGCAAAGGTCCTAAGACTGAGCCCTGAGGTACCCCACTTGTGATATTAATTCAGTTTGACTGAACTCCATTTGTAACAACCCTCTGCTTTATTCCATTCAGCTACCTATAGAGATAGTTATTTTACAAGCCTTTTATGTGGCACCTTGTCAAAGGTTTATTGAAAATCAAAATACACCAACTCTACACCCTTACCCTCATCTACATAAGCAGTAACTTTTTCAAAGAATGTCAATAGATTTGTAAGGCAAAATTTTCCATTAGTGAAACCATGTTGACTATCCAATAAAATTCTAAACTTTGTTAAATGACTTTGTAAAACATCTTTTATCAGACTTTCCAAAACTTTTCTCACAGATGATGTAAGACAATTTTTACTGCTTCCCTTGAAAAGAGGAATGACGTTGGCTAACTTCCAATCCTCTGGCACCCACTATTCAAGAACTTGCAAAAAATAGCAGCAAGTAGCTCACATATCCTGCAAAACCAGTGGAGAAATATTATCTTGTCCAGGAGCCTTATCCTTCTTTAAACTTCCCAAGTTTTTCTTAACAAGTTCAGAATTAATGCAATCATCTTGTTTGATCTTGTTTCCATATATCAACTATTCAAGATGAAGAATACTGTTTAAATGTTCATTAGTAAAAACTGAAGAAAAAGCAGAATTTAAATTTTAATAACCCAGCCATCTATTAATCATCAGATACAAGCCTTCCTTTATCATCCCTCAAGGGTCCTACCTCTATCCTAGCATTTTGTTTACCCTTAATGTATTTAAATAAATCATTACAATTAATTTATACATTTTCAGTTAAAGTTTTTTCATACATCGTTTTTGATGTCCTAATTTCCTATATGATCAACTTTCTTTATCTTCTGTAATCTTCTAAATTTCTCATCATACCAGTCAATTTAAATTTCTTAAATTTGTGAAACTTTTCTTTAATTTTGTCTCTTATACCCTTTGTGAGCCAACCTGGTTTTTACTTGCAGCCACCCTTTTCTTTGTATAAGGAATAAGTTTATCTTGAATATTTAAAAATTTATCTTTAGAAATTTTCCACATCAGTGTCTCCAAATAACTTAGTTGCCCAATTCACAACAGATAATTTTTGTTGCATCCTTTCAAAATTTGCTTTTTTAAAATTTGTAACTAAAATATCATTATTTCTGATCTCCATATGCAGCAAAACATCAAATCTAATGAAGCAACGATCACTTGCACTCAAATGTTCTCCAATTTCTGTATTAGAAGTTAAAAATAAATAAAAAATAGCTTTGTTTCTAGTAGGTTTTTTTGATCATTTGGTGAAGAAAACCAGCTTAAACAGTTTCCAAAAACCTTTCTCTCTCATGGTTTGACTCTAGCATTTCCCAATTTATATGCCTGAAACTAAAATCATCCATAATGATTACCTCATTAATAGCTGAAATCTTAATCTCACTGTAAAGTTTCTCACTAATTTTATTAGTATCATCTGGTGGTCTGTAACAAATTCTCACTAAAAGCTTTTTCCTTTTATATCTGCTAATAGAAGCCCAAATGGATTAAATCTCTTTGCTATTATCTTTGATATCCTGTATTGTCACTATTATAAATGTTTATTTTCTTAATACAGATAAATTAAAAACACTGTCACTCAGATATTTATATACGTATAAAGAATATGAATTTCTTAGCTGCTTTTTTGAAATATTGTTTTAAAATTATGAATTTTAAATAGTATAACACATTCAGTGGTATAACTTTCGTTTCAAAAGTGAGGATGGGGAACAGTTTCTGGAGCAGGGTATGCATGAGGGTATTCTGACAGTCACAAAAAAGTGAAAATTATGTCTATGAACATAATCCAGGTAAAATATATATACAAAATCTCCTTACGTCCAGTGCAATTCCAGATCATGTACATCACTGTGTAGACAAGAAGGCAACCTTGGTTTCAATCGAATATTTGTTGAGTTTGGCAAGAGTTTTTGAAACTTATTTACCACAGAGGGTGAAAGCCTGAATTCAATAAAAATTATATAGTTTTAAATAACGATGTAAAGATACTAGAGAAATAGACACAAGTTATTTATAATGCTAATGTAATGACAGTAAATTTGCCAATTTTCATTTGCATGAGTGGTCAATCTGTGACATGCCCTATAAACTTTCAATACTGCAGTCAACTAATTATTACTTAGAGATTGTTTCTTTACCTATTATGCCTTTGACAGGAGTCAGCAACATGACAAGAAAAGGAAATAAAATCAAATGTCTATAAAAAGAATAAAAACATAATCATGACAAAACAAAGAACTAATAATATTTTACACTTCTACAAAAGTGGAGGTTACATTTTCATATAAAAGAGGTGTCAATAAAATTAACAAAATAAATATAAACAAGCAAGATGATCATAACTCCTTGTATGTTTTAAATAATGTTGATAAACTGTCATAAACAGGTATTACATTATATGCAGTATTAGTGTCAGTATATTAATTAATAATTTTAATCTTTAAATTGACATCTATATTCTGTAATTCTTATTATACAGACAATAAATAAAGACAGAAACTTTAATGTTTATTAAACAGTACATATATAATTATTTAATCTCAGTGCAAAACTACTCACAAAGCACAATTGCTTTTAATTATACACAAAAATATTTTGCTACAAATTTAAGATGATTCATTATGTATGTGTGTTAGCATTCATCACCCAGAGTTGACTAGCTCAGTTACTGTAATTTTTGGTGTTGTAACTCGAAACTGTCTGATGATATACAAGGGCTATCTTGTTTTAAACTTTTTGCCCAAAAAAGGGGATAAAAATGACACTGAAATAGATACATTTTCACTTACTTTAATAGACTTGTTTGGCTTTGAAGATAAAGACACAAGTACTTAATTATGCCATGCAATGTAATTAACATCTAATGAGGTCATTTGAGATTTAACAGTGAAAGAAACAAGGAATGGGAACATTGTCTTCTAAACACTTTTTTGCTTCCTTTACAAGTGCCCTCATCTAGTATACTTAATTCATCAGAAAATGCTGATAAGTTAATCCAATGTAAAAATCATGACTTACTTTCTCATTTTTGGTTGTACTGAGTTGCAGAAACTCTGTCTACCTTCTCTTTGCTTAACCTCCTCAGCAGTCAGGTTTCTGATTGACTTCTGATACAATACTTTATACTTCCACAGCTGAGCATACTTGTTCACAATTTTTATCTTTGGACTCTGAATATGTAATATAAAATAAAATAATAGGTTTAAATGTGGCTCTCACATGATCAGAAAATGCATCCTGTGAAATAAATACAATAGGTTTATCCATGATCTGGCCATTTAAAATTTAAAGCAGAAAACAAATGTAATAAGTTAACATGTGATTTAACAGTGTAATATCTGAAAGGTTAAATAAAAGAATTACCCATGACTTGACCATGAGACACATAAAATGAAAAGTATATAGGTTTACACATGATTTGTTCACGTAACATGTGAAATAGAAAAAAAAAGGTTAACCTATGATTTAACCATATGATGTGAAACAAGAAGAGCTCCCTCCAAGATCTGATAATATAATATGTGAAACAAGAGTAATAGGTTTACCTATTGTATGACTAGGTAACATGTGAAACAAACTCTCAGTTTTACCCATGATTTGAGAAGTAGAACAAAATTAACTAGACACATGCACCACTTAAAACAAAAAAATTATTTCAGTGTAACCAGAAAGTGGGTGGGTTAAAAAACTGTTAATACTGATATATAGCTTCTTAATATATTAGTAATTACAAGTAGATGTAATGAAAGTGATCAGCATTTTAAACAGGTAAATACAGAAATGTGTTATTAGATATTTTGACAGGTGGTACATGTTTATGATCTTCAAGTTGAAAATATAAAACAAATATCATGTCAATTACTAAGATAATACACAAATGTAAAGGACAAAATGTACCAGCAGTTCTCTTCCCAAAGCAAGACTTTGCATCTTCTGTGTGACATATGAACTGACTGAGAGAAAGAAAACCACTCCTTCTTCAAGGAGAAGCTGACGTCGAATTATCAAGGCTTCTTCGTAACTATTTTTTTTTTTTTCGTCTTTCATTGAAGTAAAATTGCCAATGGTCGAGGCTCTATAGGAGGGAAACGAAAAATCTTTTCCTACATTAGAAGTAGATAAGTTTATGAGGAAAACACTGAAATACAAAACCTGATACATAAATTCTGATGATGGACTATTAAGTTGAAAAAATGAAAGCCCTGTGAGAATATTTCTGGAATATTTTTACAAACTTTTACTATTAAAAACACACACGCACACACATACAGTTATATATATATACAATACATACCATGGTTTACCACTAATGTAAAATCCTAGACATTCTAAATTAACAAGAATTTTTAGTTTAGATCTGTATATCCTCATATAAATAACTTCTGCAAAATAGGTCACCAATAAGCTTTTCGGCAAACTACATGGAGTATGTATGCAAAGTTTGATCCTGTCCTAGTTTGAAAAGATCACTAATGACACGATTGTTTTATTCAAGAAATTGGCAGTCATTATACACAATCTAATTTTCATTTTTTTTTTAAATTGAGTGTCACCTTTTTACAGTAAGTGGTGTCACTCAAGTTATAAAACTTACTCGATTGATTTAGGATCATCAAGTTACTAAATGATCAAAAAACAATATAAAATCAAAAGCTATGACATTTAAATTACCCTCTCAAAAAGTTAAAAAGTAATGATACACACAGGCATTGTGGAGTGTTACATAACTGTGTATATTATTATAACACTAACTATCAAACTTGCAACAGCAAGAAATGGGAAGATGCAATATTTCAACAGTATTTAGATAAATTATAATAATTCATTCACATTTGCTGCAACTTTAAAGATCAAAGGATGATTGAATATATATCAAAATATTGTAGTAACCTTGTATTTTAGATTGAAACTCCAAAACCAGAGAGCATTTTTGTTCTTTTTTTTCAAATCTTTTGTTTCAACATAGGCCTCTCTCCACATAGCCCAACATATTTTCTGATGTTGTATGATATCAAAATTTGTACTTCGTCTTCTCAAAAGCTAGATGTAAAACATTAGAAAGTATGATTTTAAAAATGCATAATAAATAATACATGTACATTTTATCCTTTCTATTACTAAATGATAAAAAAGCAGATTAGGTGTACTTTGATTTTTCAGTTACAAAATAAAATAACCGAATCAAATATATTCTAACCTTGAACTTACAATCAAAACCCATAAATCAACTATGTTTCGAAAAGGTTACTAAACAATAAAACTGAACCAGATATATTTTATATTTGAACCTTTTTGTTACTACCAAAACAAATGTACTGAATATTTTTGACAGTTATTAAATTGCAAAACTACTCAATCATTTTTGTGGCTGGATCCCTGTCAAGTGATTTGATATCAATCAGTGTGGTGTTGTGATCCCTCTTTCTACCATATATTGCTATAACAGAAGTTTCAATATGACAGGTTCTGTTGTCATTCTTGAATTTAATTATACATGTATAAAGAAGTTGTGCAATTAGTTTCACATTTAGTACCACATTCACACAGTGCACTATAAAAAATTTTCCTTTTGTTAACTTTTTTAACTCTTCAACTGCAGTTGACATCATATGATGCAAGCATTTTGCCATGAGCAACATTTTGAATGGCCTGCTGCAAAACTTTGCACTTAGAGTGGTAGGCAGATTTACAGAAGCCACAAATGAAGGGTTAAAAAGAGGAAAATTTTTGAAGATTATATATATATATATATCAAAAACAATTTAAAATCATCAACATTTGTCAAAATTATTCCCCTAGGCCTTTGATGTAGGCAGGGGCAATTTTGTTTCCTTGGATTTGTTTTTTACACCTTCTGGTTGTGATGTTTTCACAAATGATTAATTTAACCAAATTTGATGAATAAGTGTTCCTGATAAAGTTTTCTTAAGATCTTCTGACTCAACATAATCAGTACTGCAGGTTTTAAGTATTCTGTGTCCAAAATTCGTGATTATATATTTTTTCTTATGTTTTTGTATGCCTTTTATGTACATGGAGGATTTAAGTTTTATTTCTTCAAGGAAACTCAATAATGTTTGTACACTTTCCTTTAGAGTTCTAGTGTGAATTATAAATTCAAATATGTCCTAAAGTTTTTAAGTCCATCAAAACCAAGTGGCTATCAACAATGTATCTGACCCTTTTTCTGTTTTGGTATAAAGGTGTTAGTAGAGCAGTTTTAAGTACATTGCATGTAGCTTTCCACAAACACAAAAGTCAGAGAAGAATCCATTATTTATTTTGAAAACCAATGCTTCCAGTTGAAGCAGTATTAATCCAGGAAGAATTCTACAGTGAAAATGATGGTTCAACTCTGGATAACTTCTAGCATGAGATGTTTGTGTTGAAAGATGCAAAGCCATCAACTTTAGTTCAACCCGAGAAACTTCCTCCTACATCAAATGCAACTAAATATATTTCAGGTCCAAGAGTGGAACTTTGGGAAGGGCAGTTATTTTCACATAAGTCCCCATGACTGGGGTTGAAGAGAGAGTGAGAGACAGTAAACTATTACCTTCCATGACTGACTTACTACTAGCTATCAATACAATGGGATACAATGTAGATGTAACGGATCATGTGTGAAAATGCGATTTTCTTTCTTCAAACATGCCACGAAGTGTTCCTTGGCATGTGGCAACTACCAAAAATCGTGTTTCAACATTGAGGATCTCGATAATGTGGCAAACAAAAGATAAAGCAACAAAACTGTTTTTGTTAGTAAGCTATGCTCTTTTTATGTTCTCACAAATAAATACTGAATTGCTAACCCTCCTTGTGTTAGTGCATTGTTGTTAGAAATACATAATGATGTCATGTTGGAAGGACTTCAGATCATTGAAAATGCATCTAAAGTATATTTTAGTCTTTATTTCCAATGGAAACAGAATTCAGTTCATTACCCTGCTTTTTAAGTTGAATTATGTAACATAAATAAAAAATATTAAGAATTACTAGTAATCAGAAACATATTAAAGCATCTTCCTTCTACTTAACCCTTTCTCATCTCCACTTGTACATTTACTCCAATTATGGCAATGGAAAAAAAACCTTCCAGGGATGATAAAGGGTTAATGAAAATATTTATCGGACAAATGGCTACTAAGCTCACAAAACTATTTTCTCTTTATAGAGACGTAATGTAAATCCTTGGTTTATGACAATTCAAGATTTAAAACTTCAAGCAACTTTTGATATTCCGAACATCACATGCTGTTAGGTAGGTTTCAGAAAAGAAACATTTCTTTTCAGTTTGGCCATGTCAAACCATATCTTTTGTGGACTACAAGTGAACATCATATTATAATTTCAGAACTAAAATTAGTAAGAAACTCTTCCTTGAATAGTTGGAATAAGACCAGCAAAATAAATCTGTTTTATTAAAATGGGAATAAGGCAGATAATTCTAATGCTATATGAGTGTGATATATGAATATACCATGTGTTTTTATCTCCATGTAGATAACTTTGTTCCTGTGTTGTTCTTGAAGTATGTAAAACCTATTACCATGTGGGGAGAACACTGCTTACTGCAGAGTTGTGTAAGGATGCCTACAACAGTGTTTTTCTGTGGGTTTTCAGGCAATATTTATAGGTTATAGCTTCACCTATGTTGTAATGACAATGACCAGTTTTGTGGTATTGTAGGTAATTCTGGGTAAGTGGGAGGTTTCTTGAAAACTAAGGAACCTGGCATTTAAGGAAGACAGTCTAGAACTAAATCTTGACCAAAACCATCAGAGAAGAGCAATCTAGAGCAATCATGTGGCACAAGAACAGCAAGTATACTCAAGGTGTTTATGCTTAGCATAAAATAAAGATTGTGCAATTTGTTCTACATTTGCTTCCAGTCTTGTTACTCTGTATAATGTTGACTCAGTTAAGTAAGAGTTTTAGTAATACTCTGTAATTGATAAGTTGAACAAATCACCATTTATGTAGTGGACCAATGTGATAGCATGAACATCAATTGAGTTCTCCTGAATATACCACAGGAAAAAATGAATATTACATAATTTTAAAACAGTTATTACTTTATAATCTCAATGCTTTATCAGAGAATACAAAACTATTACATGTAAAACACAGTTCAAACTGGCTACATTCAAGTTTGTTTTTTATTATATATAAATAAGGAATTTTAAAATCTTACCCTGCAGTGTAACTGTATGCAGTAGAAGACTTTCCACCTAAAAAATGTTCTCTTTTTCACAACTACATTATGATGCTTCTTAGCACACACAGTTTGTTGTTTGTCCAATACAACAGATTTGGAGCGGCCACTCCAGAAACTGAATATTCTTTTTAACAATGCTATACACAAGCAGAAATCAAAATCAAGATATATTAATTCTAAAAGGTGTTACAAAAAATGTAATAAATATATGGATTGTTTGTTTATTTTGAATTTGAGCAAAGCTACATGATGGCTATCTGCTCTAGCCATCCATAATTTAGCAGTATAAGACTAGAAGTAAGGAAGCTAGTATCATCACCCACCACCAACTCTTGAGCTACTCTTTTACCAATGAATAGTGGGATTGACCATCACATTATAATGCCCCCATGGCTGAAAGAGCAAGCATGTTTAGTGGGACAGGGATTCGAACCAGCGACCCGCAGATTGTGAGTCGAGCTCCTAATCACTTGGCCATCCCGAACCCTAAATATATGTAACAGAAAAAAAATATTTTTCCTAAAAGGTTATTATGAGCATATTGAAATAGCAATATTAAAATTTATATTTCATTAATACAGTGCACTCCCTTCAAATGTACTACGTTTTAGTCAGACTTGCACTATATGTTGAGAAAAATTTTAATTTTATACTTATTGGAATTACACATGAAAAAAACATGAATTGTAATACTTAATCAGATATTTTTGATAAAGTTAAAAAAAAGTATTAGGTCAGGAAATATAATTGTATTTTTCATTAACAAAAGAAAATTATTTAAACTTTTTATCATACAAATGTTAATATAGCCATAGAAAAATTATATATTCTAATGAATATAAAATAAAAAAAATATTATATCAACTTGAACATATTATAAATGTTTTTGGTCATGCCAAAGATGAAACATGTAAAGTTATTACATTTTTTCTTGTATAATAGGAATCTCACGTTCAAAAGACAGATAATAACGATTTTATTTATTTGTTGAAGGTTATATTGTTAGGTGTTTGACTTCAAGCATAACTATAACAGTAATTTGGTCTTTCTTACAATCAAGAATGAAAAATAAATTGGACTTTAAAGTTATTGAAATACCAAAATCTTAATCTTTTATGATTACACGTTACATTGAAAGTACTTTCGAGGTACTGGTAAACTGTATAACTTAAAACATCTTTTATTCTGTAGAAATATCTTCATACCTCTTTTTAAACAAACTATGTTTTTTTTTACATATTCTTCACTTTTGATTTTCTTATACTTTTTATGTTTAACCAACATAATCCATTTAATCAAATTATGATGCAATAAGTGAAAATTTCTGCACTGAAGGGTTACAAGGTTTTTGTAATCTTCTTCTTGTTGAAGCTGTCCATTCCTCTTCCATGTGTAAATAGCCCATCTTCAAGTATAAAGTAAGAAACCAAAAGAAAAATACAAAATATGAAGTTTTAAAAAATATTCCTGTATCTTTCTACATATATACATATCTCACAGAAGAGAATGACATGTTAGACTGTATTTTATCAATTTTAATACCTTATGATAGTGATGCTAATTATATGTAATATATTTTATATTAGGAAGAAAACAGCAAAAGATCAAGTTTATTGAAAACTAGATGTTTAGAACATTCAATTAGTTTTACCATGTTATGTCCAATTAAGATTTTAATGATCGTTTTGTAACTTTTTTATCAACTTAAATTAAAGAAAAAATTAAAGAAATAGAAAAATAAGAAATACAATCCAAATGTACTAAATCAGAAATTTTACAACACTGAAATATTCAAATAATTGTTAATCAGCTAAAACACAGAGAGAGATAAGATGAGGAATTAACTACCGTATTTTTCGATGTATAAGACGCACTTTGTTACGCCAAAATTTGAGGTCAAAATCTGCTTGCGTCCTATACACCGAAGGTATGAATAATATATATGTATATATACGATATACACAAGCCATGTGTAAATATATTTAAATAGGCATGCATAGTTTAGTTCAACTGAATATGTTATCTATAACAATAGTAGTTTTTTTCTTTTAAAAACATAACTATTTATAAAGCTCCCTAAATAATAAAAATATAAATTACAGTGAAAGCAATGAATATTTTGTAGGTTTTGAACCAAACTAAATAACAGTAACTCTTTTTTTGATTTACAGTATTTTCTTATTTTGATGTTTTGAGCTCTTTTGTGTTTAGAACAATATATATTAATTTTTACAGTATCAAATTGGATTTTTTTCAATAAAAATCTTTCAAATGCGACTGTAGCTTTTTCCCCAAAACTTTGTCTTCAAAATAAGGGTGCATCTTATATTCCGAAAAATACGGTAAGCAATATAAAAACAAAGTACATATTAAATATTCTCATCATAAAGGAGATTAATGCCAATGATTTAAAAAAAAAAATCCTAAATGTAGCAATTATAATATTAAAACAGTTTTCAAGGAAGAATGTAAGCAACATGTTAAGATACAATAACTGAGCATATACGAGTACTTTACCTTCCAGTTTTTCTCAAACAGTTTATTATATTAATTTCTGCAACTTTCTTCAGCTGGGCTCTTTTCCACATAAATAGCTTCCATAAACCTAGCATTTTCAACTGAAGATGGAAGTGATAATGAAAATATGCTTTGACACACAACTGAGTTTTTCTTTTGGAAGCAGTTGTTACCTGATAGAGAACAATATTAACTTTAAATTAATTAAACTAATGAAAAGAGTTAACTACATTAACCTTTTCATTAACAGTTGATCTTCAGAATATTTTACTTACTACCTTTCACTATCACACAGTTTTAATAACAGGAAAGGCAGCAAATAATTAAATATCTTGTAAATATACAAGTTTTTCAACAGAGTTACAATAAGCCTAAACAAAATGTATCAATTAAGTTAAAAACTTTACAATGATTCAAATTTTTGGATACTGACTTTAAAAGAAGAAATAATTCTTCAGAATTTCATATTTTATAATAATAGTATATTGGAATAAATTTTTATGTACCACAGAATATCAATAATATGATTATACTGTATAATATTTACATAAAGTTTCCTGAAAATATGGGAAACTACAAATTCATACATTTATGTAATTTCTTAAAATTCTATTTGGTATTTAAAAGTTCATTTAGCATCAATCAAAAACTTGTTTTTTTTCTTAATCAGAGCAACAATGTTAATGTTTGATCTATTTTGTAGATTTTAATTTAAGAGGTTTATAAAATGTTGACACCAAGAGATCATTTGGCACTTAAAAGGTTGCACTTAAGAAAAGTAAAAATTAAAAAAACCAGTCATTATTTTTTAGAAAAATTATTATAAAATTCTAGCTTCCATTTCTTGCTGCTGATGACAAGTAATTCCATGACAATCACCATGTTATAAAAACAAAATTATCTTTTATCTGGAATCTAGCCTGTCTTTTCCAAATCTTAAACTTGTACCTTCTCATCACAGAAATCAGAGGCCTTTATTCTATTGATCTCCAGCCTGTCTTTTCCAAATCTTAAACTTGTACCTTCTCATCACAGAAATCAGAAACCTTTATCCTATTGATCTCCCACACATAATTCTTTCAATTTTAATAAGTTCACCTCATACCCTCCCTTTCTCAAGAGAAAATACTGTAAGAGATCTTAACCTATCCCTATAAGGCAAAATTTTGTAGTAGATCACCTATGACTTGTTTCCAATAAGTCAGTATTAACAGGTTTCAGTTAATTTCTTACACAAAGAACCACTCCACTACCTTTTTAAAAATATTGTCAGTATTAAGTAACTTATAAGTTAGAATATCAAAATAATTCCTATTATCAATGTTCTCCAAATCCAATTAACATTTACTAAATCCTATTATGTCATGGTCTTCTATTACAACTTGAACTATGAACTCGCTCATTATTTTCCATAATTCTAATAGTACAATCACATCAATTAACCTTCTTCTTGAATCTACTGCACTCATTTTTTAAATCTGAAAGATAGCTTTAAAGGACCAAATGGCCCCTTGCTCTCTGTATGTTATCTTTAAAACAATTATTTGTTATGCCCTAAATATTTTTTTCTCAACCTCTTGGCCATAGTTATCTTATAAATTTACTTATTCCCAATTTCCCAAATTATGCAAATTTAGGTTAAACTATCACTAATAAAATTCTTTAGAACTTTCCCAAACATCCTGCAGTCTTGCCTGATTACATGAAGCCAATCTATACCATACAATTCACCTCATCAAGCCTACCTCTTTCATTTAAGAATTGGATCATGCTAAGTACTGCATTCCCATGTAGCCTTGGAGAGCATTTACAAAATTCAATGTCTTTTTCTATCTCTAAGTCAACCAGCCCAAGCCAATCACAGTCTCACACTTTCTATACTTCCTACTATACATAAATTTATCAGCATATTTAACGAGATCCCTCCACTGTGTAAGCCTATTTATCATCTTCTTCTTCCTCATTTCAAGCAGCCAAAGGTTCAATTCTATTATTATTAGACTATAGTATCTAAATGAAGCTGAACATGATTCTATAGGCCTATCATTTTTACTACGGTACTGTGGACCTTTGTAAGCCTCAGAATCCCCCCCAAAAAATAATTTTTACCAATAGCTAACAGTAACTAAAGCAAAAATGGATGGAGAGAGAGAAGTAACTAACTTCCTTGAGGATTACAAATCAGGTTTAATCAAGTATTGTTTTCATTTTTTTTTTCTCATTTTATAACATAGAATGACAATTTAATCCAATAAAAAAGTTATAATGAAGTCACACCTTTTTAAATTTCCACATAGAGTGAACCAATAATTGAGAATGTCTGTGCAATATAGCAATATGATTTTTTCTTTTCTGGTCAAAGAAGTTTTTCAGCGTATTCTTCCAAAAACTTAAAGTCACCTTCTTCAGCACAATCTTAAAGTGACTGTTGGCTTTATCCTGTTCAATAACCCAAAAGAATATCAACTTTTTTTTGCTTTAGTGTTAATAAATTCATTAAGTGCAATAATTTGTTGCAGTTTCATCACGTTTCTATATATAAAACCTATCCAATAAACTAGATAATAAGTATATTGTAACATAGAGATGACAAAAAAGAGAGGATCTTTTACTCAGAATAAATGATTTTTGTGTTCTTTATGTCTTTGGAAATATTTTTATACAAATAGATTATTAAGATTTTTGTTTTAAATATAAACAAAGTAATTTATGATTACAAATGCACATATATGTTTTTATGTGTTAAGCTTTAGAGAGCATCTGTATATGTAATCATCAAGCAAAAATATAAATGAGTAAACTATAACACACTTTAAAGAGTATAGAAAAATTATTTCATATTACAATCTGATAATGAAGTTCACTACACTAAAACCCAATAATGACATCTAGATAAGGTGTAGTATTATACATATTTAATCAACCTCAATAACACTGTATTTTCCAGAAAAAAATCTAAATAATAAATTGATAGTCAGACATGCATTAAGAAATGTTCACTATTAGTCTAAATATGATAAGACAAAATAGATAGAGCCTACATATGATCACATACAGTAATGTGGTTTTCTCAGGTGTACTGATAACCTTACACTTAAGAACAGTACTGCAATATTCTCTGACTGACTGACTATGTTTAAAAAACAAAAATATACCAAAAATAATCTAAAGATAAAGTAAAAAGTAAACTTTATTTCAAAAAATGATCAAAGGCAAATGAGAGCATTGGATTATAGTACTTCACTGGCTTAAGTCTTGTAATTTGTCAATTTCACTTTTAAAACTAAATTTGACTTGTTTCAAACTAAGAGACCACAGCATTATATGCAATATTTTATAACATAACATAATGTTTAGGGACAACAAAAGACCTGTTGGTCCATTTTGGCTGTCCCATTCTCTAAACTAAACTATTATAAAAATTTAAAAGATCTTGAAGCCAGCCCTTATCATTCATATAGTTATCATGCTTTAAACTCACTTAATTTACTGCCTCCACAACATCTGAAGGAAACCCATTCCGGAGGCTAACCACCCTCTTAGAAAAATAAAACTGTCTTAGGTGAAGATGACTCCTAAACTGCAAAAATTTGTATTTGTGTCCCATAGTCTAACTATTTTTGCCATTAAGTACCAAAAAAAAAGATGATACATCAACACTATCAATTCCCTTTACAATCTTAAACACCTCCATCAAATCCCCTCTAATTCTTATTCTTTTCAAGATAAAACATTTTCAAAGATCTTAATCTTTCCTCATATGACAAAACCCCCATCCCAGGCACCATTCTAGTAGCCCTCCTCTGAACCATTTACAAAAACTCCATTTCCTTCCTAAGATAAATAGCCCAAGACTGAATACAATACTTCATCTGTGGCCTAACCAGTAACCTATACAATGAAATTATAACCTCTTTAGACTTTTATTCAATCTTTCTGTAGATCTATAATAATAATAAAAGAGCTTGTGTGTGTGTGTGTGTGTGTGTGTGACAGCCATAGCTACAAGAGGAAACAACCTAGAAACCTAAACTTTTGCACTCATATTAAGAGGATCATGAGGGTGTGCATCTGGGTATTATTACATATCCAAATGCGCATACACATTTTTTTAATGAGGCAAGCTAGTGAAAAAACACGTAGAAAAAAAGTGGTTTCTTATATTACAAATAGAAATCATAGACAGACAGACATGCTCTTTTATTATAGATGTATTACCTGTTAAAAATGATGAGGCAAGTAATACCACCCCATAGTATACCCTGTAGTATATCAGTTAAATTAACAACTTCTAATATATAGAAAAGCCAGTGTGCTTTGGTAACAATGCATTCCAACAACAGCTTTATGTCATGATGCTTAGCAACAAAAGTATAACCGAATATTGTTGTTAGTCTTCATACTGAAAGTATAAAATGAAATGTATAAACAACAAAAACTGGAAAAATATTTGTTGATTTCTTAAGTTAGAGTCTCTGCTGACTAAGGAGGTTTGTTGTTAATTTAAAATGTTGGTGATATAACAGAAAATATTTTTACTTTCATAATAAATTTTATGCACTATGCTAGGTTATCTCACATTATTTATTTACTTTATGCTTATTTATAAATTTCTTTAAATCATACCGACATTCACTACATTTACAAGGTTTCACAGTCCCCTTGCACCCCGTCATTAAAATTACAATAGGCAAGTCATAATATATGCCAAAACTGAAACAGAAAGCTGCAATTCATTCACATAAACCAAAAAAATCTCCAAGTTAAAGACTATGTCCACCTGCAGGATGCTAAGATAGTTTCAGAATATACACATACTGACACAGTCATATAGAACATATCAACCTACTAACCTGAGCAAAGAACTTTTACTAGAATAATATAAAATCCTGTTTGCCTTGCCACTAGCAACAGCACAATGTTTGCATGGTTTAAGAGACTGATCAATCATTACACCAAAATCCTTTTCTTTCATGACACTGTTAAGGTTATTTCCATCCAAATTATACTTATAATTCAAATGATGATAACCAACATGCATTATCTTGCATTTATTATGATTAAAACCTATCTGCCATTTATGTGCCAAACTTACTGAATGATCTAAATTCATTTGTAAAGCAGCAGCATCCTCTTATCAGCCAGCTACACCCAAGACCTTAATATCATTAGCAAATTTAAGTAATTTATTGACCTTTCATTCATCTATATATTATGTTGTTGATTTAAATCAAAAAGAGCAAAGGTCCTAAGACTGAGCCCTGAGGTACCCCACTTGTAACATCATTCCAGTTTGACTGAACTCCCTTTATAACAACCATCTGCATCCTTTCATCCAACCACTCTTCTATCCAATTAGCTAACTTATCTTCCACACCTATAGAGATAATTTTTTTATGAGCCCTACTTCTCTCAATGTCATGCATCAATATCACTAATGGTCATTCCAACAGAAAAACATGGGAGAATACATCCTCAAGGCATTATTTGTCCTGCTAGTAGAAAATATTACTGTACTCTTTTACACAGTGTGTTTATTATAAAGCAATCTTTCCTACAAGAAAGTACACATGACAATATAGAGGAATAACCCAGAATAACTGATAGCTACAGCAAAAGGAATTCAGCCATATTCCTGACCAGTATTCTATTGTCAAAATTACACACACATGTACACAAGAAACACTAAGTATGCTTTTAATACCACAGTAGATAATTTGGTCCATACATTAGAATACAAAATACTAGGACCTATACATGATAATCTAGAAGTAGATAATACATTTTATATATGATAATACAAAATGAGTACTAGGCTATATATGTACATGATAACATAAAACAGAAGCTGACCTTGTCTGAATTTTCCAGTAAGGATGACAAAGTCTTTCTATACCACAAATTCCATACTTCACATAGATGATGCATTCTTTGCTGTTTTATCACCTGCAATGGAAATATGAGAACTGCAAAATTATTAAAATTACAGAGTTATGTTGTGACATAAGTGCTTAATAGCTAAAACAATGTCAAAAACGTGACATACTTAAATATACATTTACACATCAACCAATCATAATATAAAGACTAACGTAATTAGGAGGAAACAAACAGAAGTACATTCTTTGAGAATTACAGTTAAATATATCTGAATGTAAGAAAAAACAAACAAACCAGACTTTCCAAGTAAGCAACTTTCTGTTTTCTTTTTAGTTTCTGAAGCCACCATATAAAACTCTTCTTTAATGTTACCACCCTGAGTAAAATAGAGTAGAACATTATAAGCAAAGTCCACTGTAAAGTTTATAATTCCAGGTCTTTCCATGCATGTACTGTGGTACTCATAAAATGTAACTGCAACTAAAAAGTTAATCAAAACTTTTGGTTTATGATTCAATATAAAAATATTCAATATTTTGTAACATAATCATATTTCTTGGGTACAATCAACACTCCTGAGAACAATATTACAAAGATTTATACATATGACAGAATAACTAATTACTATTTTTATGGTTATTACATGCTCTGTATTATACAGTACCAGTTAAGTCTGCTACATCAGTCTTACTCTAAATATTCAAGAGAAGTTTCTTCATAATACAGCAAATTTTATGCAAAAAGTTCTAAAACCTATTTCCATATGTTGCCTTTCTTCATCATAATTAGTTTACTTTGTTTTTCTTTATTATCACAGCTTGTGTTTCAGTAAAACATTATTAAATCTACAATCACCTAAGAGCCAAAGAAATAGAATAAAACAGAAGATAGAGCAAGCTTTTGAACAATCTTTCTATCTCGAAAAATAAATAAAAGTATACCAAGATGTCAATTAATTTGAGTTAATGTAATGGATGAGCTAAAGTCAAATCAAAAGTTGAGAATCTTAATTGATTTTAAAGATCTTTTTAGTTAGCTCAATCATGAGACCAAAAGAAACAAAGAAATATGTTTTGATGTACATTACGTTAAAAATACAGTGTAATACAGCTTATTATGCTTTGTAGTTAGAAAAAGCTAATCTGGTGACTATTACCTGTACTAGACACAGGACATATTACACTTTCAAACCAGGGTAACATTAAATTAGCAGCAAAAAAAAAGGACATTACTATGATACAGTTGTTGGTGTTTACACAGATAACACTCAATCAGTACTTGTATTGATATTAAAATGAAGAGAGAATGTATCACGTACTTACTTCAAGTCAAGTGTTCTACCCATACATATATATTTAAATATGCACCATAGAGAAAAGAATACAGATTATTCAACATGGTGGAAGGTTTATTTTGCTTTTAGCAAATTAACAAAATTCTTACCTCTGGCAGGTGTGAACCTTTTCAGTTAAATCTGGATGTCTTTCATCATACAGGGATTCAACAACAGAAATCCACTTCACAAGTGAAGAGTAAAGAAGCTGCAGAAACAGTTCAAGTTACATACATAAATCAAAAATAAACTTACCTTTTCTAAAAATATTATGATGGTAGCTTGTAGAAAGAATTGGCAATTCTGATTTGTTACCTGATCCATTAAATTTTTACTGAGAATAATAACCTGCTTTCAGAAAACCCAAATGTTCATTGAAAACACTTAAAAACAATTTATCAGTAAACTCAAAACATTTTACCCTGATTCTTGATTCTACTGGCTAATTCTTTATCAAGACCTACACTACGATCTTATGGCACTAAAAATAACTTTGGTCAATGACTATTAACCATTCAAGTGACATAATACAGTGAAATAAAGTGAAAATAAATAATCTTACAGATAGTGATTTTGGTTACTTCCAGAATTTTATCTAAATACTAACCTAGAGATTTTTATAATCAACTATCAATCAAAATACAAGCCCTTTAATTCAATGATTTTGAAGAAAATAATTATTGGTGTTTATTCCTCACAATCAAAGAAACAAATTATATGTAGGCAGCAATAAAAATAAAATATAACACATTTTTCTGGTATTGCTATATTATACTGAATTACTTAATCCTAAAAGGTGATTATCTATATTTCAGCCTGATACAGTGTGTGCCAAAATTCAGAAGTCAAAGAGTAATAATTTACAAAGGCAGTCCTGACTTTTGAAGCAGTTATTAGGACTAATCACAATCACTGTTATTCCACTTCTTTGAACAAATTGTTATGTAATGGATAAGCAAGCACCTTTCCAAATAAATAATCATGCAGTCTAACCTTATGAGATCGGTATTCAACTGCCTTCTCCAAATAATGTATCTTCCAGTTTCTGGTAATATGCTTTTGTCTCATTGTTTTCCAAACTGACTTCTGTTATAAAAACAAGACTGTGTCACATCACTTTTGAAAAATATGAGATATTAAGAAAATTTATTAAAGATACAAGTTGAAATCACTTTATATTCATTTATGGCATGATAAATTATGCTTTTTATTACAAATTAAAATACATTTATATAAATCTAAACCTCCTAAAAATTTAATTTCTCATTATTGCATAAGATGATTGATCAACATCATCAGTTTAATATACTAAATACATAATATACTAACATAAAATTCATTTGTTGTAAACTTTATTAAACAAATTATTACAAGAATAACCTATTCCATAAAAAAGTTAACTATGCCAAATATAGGTTCTATTTGTTTTTCAACACTTTTATATGAAAAGATGAAAAAAAAAATCTTACAAATACTTCAAATAATATGAAATATAGCTAAGACTAATATTTAATGAGCTTGTAAATAAAATTCATCATTATTTTTGCCAAGACAAACCTTCAGAAAATTGTTATAAAACTGAGTTGCTTCATTTGTCTTTAGTTTTTCTTTTTTCTTTCCTCTAAATCTGATAAAAAGTGTTAAAAACACATAACCAAATCCAAATGCTAAAAACATGCATTTTACTTGCATAAAGGTAAATTACTTACACTTATCTTAGAAGTAGTAAATATGTATATAATGATGTTATTCAAAGGTTTTAGCTAAACCCCACCTTTTTATCTTAACTGTCTCTAACATATAACATAAAAAATAATGAGTTTCAAAGAAAATAATTTGAAATAATCTTTCAAAATATCAATAAATTATATAACATAAAATAATGTTTTGGGACAATATGGGACATATTGGTCCATCTCAGCTGCCCCATCCTCTAAACTAAACTAAAACTATTAATAAATAAATTAAAAAAAAATTTTAAAGCCAGTCCTTATCATTCATCTACATATCAAGTTTTCTGTTAAACGCACATAAATTTACTGTCTCCACAATATCTGAAGGTAACTTATTCCAATGGCCAACTACCCTGTTTGAAAAATAAAACTGTCTTTACTGAAGATGACTCCTAAACTGCAAAAATTTGTATTTGTGTCCCATAGTCTAACTATTTTTGCCATTAAGTACCAAAAAAAAAGATGATACATCAACACTATCAATTCCCTTTACAATCTTAAACACCTCCATCAAATCCCCTCTAATTCTTATTCTTTTCAAGATAAAACATTTTCAAAGATCTTAATCTTTCCTCATATGACAGTCTTACTATTCTCACTGATAAGTATGAAAAAAGATGATGTATCAACACTATCAATTCCCTTTACAATCTTAAACACCTCAATCAGATCTCTCCCCTAACTCTTTTTTTCAGGAGAAAACAATTTGAGAGATTTCAACCTTTCTCTTTGTATGACAACCTCTTCATCCCAAACACCATTCTAGTACCCCTTCTCCAAACCCTTTCAGACAATTCCATTTCCTTCCTAAGGTAAGGATTCCAAGACTGAACACAATATTCCAAATGTGGCTTAACCAGTGACCTGTATAATGAAATTATAACCCACTTAGATTTGTATTCAGTATTTCTGTAGATACAACCAAAAATCCTATTTCTAGTACCACTAGCTACAGCACACTGCTTGGATGGTTTAAGAGACTGATCAACCATTACCAGTACACAAAACTCCCTTTCTTTTATGACACTGTTAAGGTTATTCCCATCCAAACTATACTTATAACTTAAATTATGATAACCCACATGCATTATCTTGCATTTATTGTAACTAAAACCCATCTGCCATTTATTTGTCCAACTCACTAAATGATCTAAATCCTTTTGTAAAGCAACAGCATCCTCTTCACAGCTAACAACACCCACGACCTTAATATCATCTGCAAATTTAAGTAATTTATTGGCCATTCCTTCATCTATGTCATTGATGTAAATCAAAAAGAGCAAAGGTCCTAAGACTAAGCCCTGAGGTCCCACTTGTAACATTAATCGAGTTTGACTAAACTCCATTTGTAATAACCCTCTGCTTGCTTCCGTCCAGCCACTCTTCTGTCCAATTTGCTAACTTATATGTGGTACCTTGTCAAATGCTTTCTGAAAATCCAGATACACCAAATCTACACCCTTACCCTCATCTACATAAGCAGTAACCTTTTCAAAGAATATCAAAAGATTTGTAAGGCAAGATTTTCCCTTAATGAAACCATGTTGACAATCCAATAAAATTCTAAACTTTGTTAAAATGGCTTTGCAAAGCATCTTTTATCAGACTTTCCAAAACTTTTCTCACAAATGAGGTAAGACTAATGGGTCTATAACTACTGGACAATTTTTATCACCTCTCTTGAAAAGAGGAGTGACATTAACTAACTTCCAATCCTCTGGTACCTGCCCACTATTCCAAGACTTACAAGGCTGACATATCCAATCCTTAACTTCCTTCAAAATCCTTGAGGAAACATTATCTGGCTCAGGAACATTATCATTCTTTAAACTTTCCAAGCATAAAGGAAAAAAATTCAATTAAACATTATCCCATTTTAAAACCTAAACCCAAGGGTAGAAATGCTCAGAATAATTTGAAAAAACAAAAATAGACCAAGACCATCGTGCCACGTGTTCTCTTTTTTCTTCCTGGTTGAAGAAACAGCCATCAGACAAACTTGGCATAGTAAACCACCACCAGAATTACTTTCTGGCAGTGAAAGGTGTTTAGACTGCAAAAATGGTTTTTACTTATCTTTGTTTGGCTCCTGTCAGGTGAAGAAGGTCTTATATTCTACTCAACTCTTAACTATTTTTAGTATAGGGTTCTTTGAGACAATTTAAGTAAACATATCTAAATGGAGACAAAAATCCTTTCCTACATCAAAACTTTACAGCTTTTTTTTACTGGTAAGTAAGACTTTTTCCCCCATCACAAGTAATGGTCACTTGCAAGCACTATCACATAGTGATATTAAATGATCATTGGAATAGAAATATCTACTATTTATTATTTTGAATATATTTTTTTATTAATGAAAATAATATATTGTGCTCTTGTACTTGAAAAAGGAACTTAAACAAAAGATACTTTTAATCCACTTCAGCAGTATTCTTCTGAGAAGTAATTCCTGGGCTTTTTTTAAATCTAACTTAAGTCTTTTTAACAGGATCTTCCATCTTCTCATCAGTGGTTTCAAAATTTTTTGTTTCCACAACTTCTGAACTTCTTATAAATCATTTAATAATTAATATTTTCACTTCTACTTTAATATATAGTTTCTAAAGTTAAGAAATAAAAAAAAACATCCTACAGTTTAAAACTAGTAGATTAATACACTATTACATTTTCTACAAATACTATTAAAGAATACATCTGATCAAAACATTTAAGGTTTTTGGCCCAAAAAGTTTGCTTTTATTATAAACTACCTGAGGGTATTCATTAAGGATGAAAAAACTGTATAATAAATAATGTTGGATAATGTTCCCCTTACTTCTCATTAGATATTAATTGCATACTTTACTTTGTGGAGGGTAATAATTGACTCATTTAACCTGTGGCTCTAAATTCACGTCCAGTCTATGAAAAAAATAGAAATGTGACTTATTTCAGGGCCTTTTTTTATCTCCTTTTCTGGCAAAAATTATAAAACAAAATAGCCCAAGTACATTGTCGGACAGTTTTCAGTTACCGTATAAAATATTAAGTTGGTTGGTTGGAGTATATTGGTGCAAAGTAACCAGGCTATCTGCACCAAACAATTGGTAAAAATGGAAAGAGAAGTAAAATTAGAAAAAAATGCAAAAAGAAACCAAGCTAAAAGCTAAACAATGCCCCAAAATCAGATAAAAACTTAAATAGAATTAAAAAGTTCTGCAAAGAGCTAAAAACACAAGAAAGCTGGACAGTGTCACCATTGCCAATGACATCGTCCAACATTAGGGATAAATCTTGAGAAAAAACATGCCTAAAATGGTGCTGTCATTCACAGTCACAATGACAGCATTAAAGAAAGACATGGAAAATTGTGACCTGTGTGTCACAAAGCCACATATTGGCAGATCAGTCCCACATAAAAGAAAATAATGAGCTTAAAAACTGTGACCAATGCATAGCTTAGCTAAAACAACTTCCTCCTGTTGGACATTATTGAGATGGCCAAACAACAACCATAGGTTTGATCTGGAAAAGTTTGTTATGAAGTTGCTCATCTCACAATGACTGCTAACTGGCATGAAGCCATGCCTTGATCACAGGACCATAGTCCATATATGAGACAGGCATGGCTGTGACAATGCCAGAGCAGATGGACTTAGCTGTGGTTCAGCAAGCTCATTCCCACAAATAACAAAATGGCCAGGTATCCAAAAAACCTGGATAGAAACAGAAAACAGAAAAAGTGGGCCGGTCAAGAGCTAAGAGAGTCTGTATAAAAAGAATAGTTAATGTATTGCTGAGCTTCTATGTGAACCAGAGCAAGAGAAATGGCATACAACTCGGCAGTGAACACAGAAACTGTAGAAGGGATAATGTGAGCAACCATCGAGCCACAACAAAATAGGTATCTGCTGGTCAACCAACAGTGCCAAAGTGAGATGTTGATAGGTAAGAAATTGGATGATAATTAGAAGGAATCTTGGGATCCGTCCCAGGCTTTGAAAAAAGGAAAACAATAGCCTTGCAACATGCATTAGGAAAAATATTCTCCTGCCAAATGCGGTTAAAAACAACCGAAAGGAGAGCAAGAGAGACGGGAGAGAGATGGCATAGCATTTATTAGTGAACATCATCAGGTCCAACAGGTGTATTGACAGACTTATGAAGGGCAAGCTTAAGTTCCACCAGTGTAAATTGGCTATTATAATCATACAGAAGATCTGCCTGAAAGGAAAGTGGAATTCTCTCAGTCCAAGACATGATGGTCAAGAAGATAGGAGAAGAAACAGAAGTGCTGGAAAGGTGGGAAAAGCACTTCTCAAGAGTATCAGCGATGCTTTGTACATCAACAACTT